AGGGTAATCAGAGAGACTCCAGGAATATTTGAGCGAATACGTGGCTCAATGCGCCGATGTCTAGACGCATGCGTAATGTCTGAAGATAGAGATATCGAACATTTACTATGATTTCTACATGTTGTGTGTTTTGTTATTAATAAACTAGTGTTAATAAACTAGTGTTCGTTTAATGCAGGTACTAACTACAAAATAACAATAAATTTAGCTCGCATTCATGACGATGTATCGATGTAAAATAAATTTTTGCTTCAAACTGGTTCATTTTGGCAAAAAAACTAAAAGACATTTGTTGTTTAGAATAAAACAGCCTATCGGAAATAAATTTTCAATTGAAATTAAATTTTAGGGGTTGCGTTTTCCACCTCTTTCAATCATGGGGTAAACCAAATAAATTACTGGCTGAGGGTCTTTTTGGTAGTACAAAACGTCCAGATTGATTTCAATATTGTAACTTTTTCAGTGCTTGTGAAAAAAATTGTTATACAAATTTTATGTAGCCCCTTCAAGGGGCTGTATCTTAACGAGGGATGCTCCAATGAAGTTTCTTTACATGAAAGATCCTTTCTTTTTTTCGATGAGGAATCACCTCCTTGAATGATTTACACTTATTCAGTTACTCCCTGTATATTGAACGCTTTCAACTATAGATTCAACTAGACTGTTTCGTTGACATGTTGTTTAGTTTATTTTCCAAGTAATTGAAAAGGCAAAATGTGAACGTATGTTTTTCGGGTTTTTATAAATTCTTATCGCCTCATTTCAGTCAAGCTCATAAATCGAAAGTATCCATACTTCCAAGTATGAAATGAAAAATAAAAAACTAAATCAATTTTGCGACTGTTGAGACTGTTTGTGATTTTGTATTTTAGGACGTCATCTGTTGGAATTTCTTTCTGACGTTTCGCCGACGTGAATGGATGGTTTCTTTACAGGTTTATTTCATCGCTTCCAAGCAGTGTCTTCAACTTTGGAAGCGAAAGCTCGGACATCTGGAGATGCCAGCCACTCGCCTCGGCGAAACGTCAGGAAAAATCCCAACAAACAACGCCCTTGAAACTCAATAACACGAACAGTTTTACCTGTGAGTATTTTTAGCTGTATAAATTTTCATTTCACATCTAAAGTTCACAACATAAATATAAATTAATATAAGTTTTATGAATTTTTGATGAGGAATCATCGTCATTATTACTGATTTTTGTACAGTTTCTAAAATGTGAGTTTGAAAAATCTGTCGAACCCCTACGAACGACAACCCTCAGAAGTCGAAACTTGTGCGAGCTAAGGATTAACGAGGTCTTACCTTTCAACGTGTGATTCCTAACAACCAAATATGTTTCAAGTTAACATAAAATATAATAATTTGAGAATTTTTAGAAATTTGTAACATTTTGGCCTTCAAATTTTTTTTAAAGATTATTTACTTCGATTTGATTTTCCGGAACACAATTACCACTTTATTACTATCAGTATGTTTTCATATATTTTTTCTATATATTACGAATAAGAAGACGAAACGTAAATCCTTAGAAACAAATTTATTTCCTCTATTTTTCATAATAGGTTGCTTTGAAACATATGTCTGCGTGTATGGCCAGCTTTAACGAAACCTTCCCCGCTTTCAAATTATACGCATTTCCGTTTAATTTTCCAGAAAGTCGGATGCGACTGGGTGGTGGACTCAACTACCGAAGAGGACGATTGCGGCATCTGCCAGGGAGATGGAAGTAAATGCGACAAAAAGGAAGGGACGTTCGATAAACAAAATTGGTCCCTGGGCTACGAAGAAATTGTGGTCATACCACGCGGAGCCCGCAATATACAAATTGACGAGAAAGATTATTCCCAGAACTATATTAGTATAGGCAGCGCCTTGGACAGGAAATTCTATCTGAACGGAGAGATGTAAGTTATATTTTTATTGAGGTGCAGATTTTTTGGTTATCTGAATATGCGAGAGGGTAGATCGGATAATGTGGATGGAAAAATGTATTCGAGATTGAATCCAAAAAAGAATATTTACCCATGTTTGGTGTACCAGCGGAGATACAACAACAATCATTCAAGATTTTTTCTCTCTTCATTTTATTTTTCAATGATCTCCTGAGGACGCTAACTTGGTTAGCGAAACGCGCGTCGAGACACCGTATTTTGTTCTGGTGTTGGGAAAGTGTATACATTGGAGAATTATATCTTGTTCTATTAAATGAAAACTATTTGAAGAGCTTGTACTTTACTGGTGGATTTCATTCATATAAAACATCTTCAAGTAAGGTGTCCTTGGTAATTTTGTATCATCAACATAAAATAAAGTTTTAATTCAACTGAAAGCCTATTCAGAATGGTCAGCATTACACTAATTGCGGATCTTGAAACAGTCTGCATTGCTCTATTTTGTAAGTTCTGTAAATTCCCTTTATTGTGGTTTTTAAGAAGCAGTGGCGGATGATAACAAGAAATAACTTAAATGACCTAAATATCATAAAGGTTCGCACACATTATGGCAGGTAGGTAAGAAACTGATGAGAGACCGAACTCTACTGGGTTTTTGTTCCAATTTGCCGGAATACGGATCTTTTTGTGGAAGCAAAGTCAAAAAGTACAATGAACTCATATTGCGACATATGTAATATGAAAATATCAAATGTATGGAAAGAATCAAAATGCAAAACTGATGATTGTAAACAAGCAAGTCATATAGAATGTGCAAAAAAATTATGTACAAAATATGAGGATTGGATGTGCAAGGAATGTAACCCTTCTATTGCTGACTCATTGAAAGTAATAAAAACCATTTTAGGTCAAATAAACAATATTGAACATACTATGGAAAGTTGTAATGACAAAATTGATGAAAATAACAGGTTAATAAAAGCACAAGCTGAGCAAATCAAGGAGTGTATGCAAAAGATCGAGCAATTAGAAACAGAATGCGTATATCTCAAAAAGGAAAATGATGAGATTAAGTTTCCAAGAACAAAAATATAATTTGAATCAAATTTAAACAATGTGCATTGAACATAATTACAAAAAATTGAATGTTTATTATCAAAACGTGTAAGGATTAAATTCGAAAATCAAGGAGTTCATTTTGAGTTTGAGTGCTGCAAATTATTTTGTCATAATATTAACTGAGACGTGGCTGTCCCTCAGTGGTTTTGATGGGGAACTCTTTATTTATAATAATTACAAGGAGATTAGGAGAGACAGACATTTTTGTGATACGGGAAAGAAGAAAGGAGAAGGAACACTAATAGCTGTTAGGAAAGATTATGAATGTCATCAATTATTATTTTCTTGCATGTGTCTAAGTGAAAAACAACATGCTGGGTTCTTACCTAAAAGGTCCACGATAACTAACCTAACATGTTTTATACAAGAGGCAAATTAAGTTGTCGAGAATAATAGTCAACTAGATATTATTTTCACAGATTTTAGTAAAGCCTTCGACACGGTTGATCATGAGGTTATGTTGAAAAAACTTTTAGGGAGAATATACAAAACTATCGGCCAGTAGCACTGATTTGTGCACCCAGTAAGCTTTTCGAATCAATCATTCATGGGTGTACCCCAAGGGTCCAATCTAGGACCACTCTTCTTTTTATTACTGATAGATGATCTACCAGAGATAGTTCAAGACTCGCAATGTGCACTATTCGCGGATGATTTTAAATTATTCAGGAAATCAAAAGACAAGAAGATGTGATTTTGCTACAAAATGACATAGATAGAGTTCATGAGTGGTCCCTGTCAAACCGCCTCACATTTAACAAATGTTGACAAATGCTTTAGTATGTCAATTACTAGGAAAAAACTGCGGAATGATTTTCAGTATAAGATAAACAATATATATTTAGCCAAGAAGACAGAATGTAGACCTTGGGAGTTACGCTGGATGAAAAACTCACTTTTGATCAACATATGACCGACATTATAAACGGAGCATATAGAATGCTTGGCTTCATTATTAGGAATTCATTCAAATTCACAAAAATATTCACATTACTAACACATTTGTCCATAGTATACTGAAATATGGTGCAATAATATGGTCTCCTTATTATTCAGGTCATAAAAATGATATTGAAAAGGTGCAGAAAAAATTCTTAAGATTTCTACATTACAAAAAACATGGTGAATATATTTTCAATCTTAGTTATCATACTTCCTTGAATGAATTCAAATTCACAACTTTAGAATTTAGAAGAAAACTTGCGTTTCTATTATTTTTCTATAAGCTATTGCATAATAAAGTAGATAAACCACACTTGTTATCAAAAATTTTATCTGAACTGCAGTACATACTTCAATAATAGAAATGAAGATATATTTGTTTTGCCTAAACCTCGAACCAATCTAGGTTTGAATTCCCCACTATTTAATATGTGTTCTCTAGCAAATTGTTTGAGGAATATAGATTTCTTTGTCAAATGTAATGTGAAAACTTTTTAAAAAAATGTTGAAATTGAGATGTCATCCTTAGAAATTATTACTAATTGTAACTGAGAGTCAATTTGAATGAAAAAGGTCCATTTGTCATTCTCAACTGAACGTGTCTTTCAATTTGAATTTGATTCAGGTAATTTGGAGTAACTTTAGTTTTAGTCATTGTATTATATTGAGAATGATTATTTAATTAGTTTTGATATTGTAATCGATTATTGGATCTGCTTGTTCTCTAGATTACTTAATAAATAAAATAAAAAATGAAAAAGTAATAGATACTAGTGGCTCATTAAATTTCCCGGAACCATAACTGGCTTATAAGGCCAGTCTAATTGAACCCAGAGCTGAAAGAGCTCAGCTATCCCACAGACAAAAAAAACAAGGATATTTTGTATAGCCTCCTTGTTGTCCGAGCAGAATATTCAATATTATCAGATCTACACACAGGAGCCACTTGTATACGTGGTATTTGATTTTCCGCAAAACAAAAGCCACAGTAACATATTTTTCTTTGACTTTAGTCGAATGTACAATCAGTAACGACCCAGCTTATGGTCGTTAGGCATAAACACACATTTCAGGATACATTTAGAGCAATTCTGTGACGATGGTACAAAGTTCTTATTTCTCGATTTTGTTGTTTTAATCGAGAACTTAGAATCTCCGATGCTTTCTTAGGAAGGCCAAGATTCCTGACCAAAGCGTTGAGTTCTTCCTGGTTAAGGGGCTCAGGAGAAATATCTGGAATAGAATAAATTATTTCACTTTCATGCTTGTGGCACTGGTACATCGTCGGAGTACAGGATTGGTCGAGTAATAGATAACACGTTAGGGTAAATCCATTCGAAACGGATTCTTTCATCAATCTCGTTTATATCAATCACGCAAAAACTTGCACCAAGATATCATCAGCGTTAGGTTAGGTTTGGTTAGGTCCAAAGTAAGTGGGTCTATTCGACCCACTACCGCGACCCGCAAGGGTTTATTGGGGCTCACACCTATTCACACTCGACAAAATAAACTCAGCTTCTTAACGAAGACGGTAGGAGCCAAGAGCTTCCAACGCCGCTTGAGTGTCCAAGAATATTTTTATTCACTTGTGTATGAGGTTGGAATCTTCCAATCTTTCCGCAAATATTATCAGCGTGCAAATTTATTGAATCAATAATCATTAGTAGTGGTCCTGGTACACTCCCCTGTGGTACTTCGATATTATTTTAAATTGCGCCTGATACTGACTCAAGTATTTGAAACACTGACAAATGAAAATATGTTCTATTGAAAAGTATATATACAATGATTTCCTCAACTCAAATCCGGGTTTGCCGGTAGCTAACGTTTTTATCTTTGAAAATCAATCGATAATGCTTTGGGAATAGATTTTCTGTACACTATTATATGAGCTTCAACTACTTAAAATTTCTGTTGATTTCAATTCATCATTGACTTTCATACTTTCAGGCGTATTTCTTTGCCTGGAGAATACACTATTGCTGGAACCCAAGCCCTCTACGGAAGAGACAACCATTTAGAGAAAATACGTATTCCAGGGCCCATACAGGAACCGATAATTGTATATGTGAGTTTCTCTGATCAATCTCTGATCAATTTATTGTTCACAATATATTAGTTTCCTAAATTACTATAGTGTGGGATGGTTTTGATATCTCTCCCAATGAGGCAGGTTATGTAATCACGCCCAAATATTTCTCAACAAATTCAAATGAAACATAAGTCGACAACTTTGTTACAACTATCTTTGAATATTCTGTCGTGTTTTATTCTCAGAAAATGACTTATTTGATCTACATAATTTTTTTTATTTATCGTCTCTTCTACTTCCTACTATTCTCAATTCCGTTAATTTTATTTACTACTCTTCTAGAATCGTAGGTTCTCTATTTCATCTTTTGAGTGATCTTCATTCGTTCCATGAATAATTTTTCAATTGTCAATATCCAATTACCAATAGGACTCTCATTGTAATAGTATTCAACAGTTATACTTCAGAGGCCAAACACTGAACCCTGGGGTCCACTACAAGTACTCCATTTGGAAACAAGAAAAAACGAAGCAGATCAAGTACTCCTGGATAATGGGAGAGTGGTCGCAATGTTCCGCAACGTGCGGAGGCGGAATCCAACATCGACAGCCACTCTGTCAGGAATCTACAGTATCTACCGTCACGTCGGAGCTGGAGAGGCCAACTCCCGTAGACGAATACTTCTGTGAATCACCGGAAAAGCCGGAGAAAGAAATGAGAACTTGCAACGACGACGCATGCGCATACAAATGGTGGGCGGGACCGTGGCAGGCGTGTTCTGAAACGTGTTTCCGGCAGGTAATGTACATTGGATCCTTTATCCATATTTTCTTTCGTAACAGTGTTCAATAAACTATAAATATATTGTTTATTCAGGTTAAACCCTAATTTTTTTACATTATTCTCCAAAAGTCTTTTGTTGAAAGTATTTTTTGCAGTCATCATTTTGCATATTTTTGATACGAATGACATGAGACCAATTGATCCGATTTTCCAAGTTTTGGCATGAAGGTTGTCCTCAGCAGTCTCCATGTTTTATGTATGAAGTAAACTTGCTGTAAACTGAAGTAAACTTGCTTGAAGGAATGCACACAGAACTAGAAATACCGTCCATTTCACAATCTTACTGGAAAAATGTCAGGTTCTGGTGAATTATTTAATTGAAATGAGCTTACGGCTCATTTAAATTTCTTCAAATAGGCCATTTTCTCAACTACCTGAAAATTTCCCTTCAATTCAATAATTGATTTGGGGCAAGAGCATCTTATGAAAACTGGAACATCCTTCACTTTCTTCAATCATTTCGAATTGACCCCTACAGGAGTCTCTCAAACTTCCGTTTAACTGTAAAACAATGTACGTAAATATAATGTCCATATTTAATCGATCTACTGCAAATCCAAGTTTTGGATTCCTTTATTCCAAAGCCTACCCGGTTTTTTATTTCAGTTTTGTCTTATAGGTGCTTATTATCAAAAATGCCTAGCTGAAATATCACTGGGCGTGACTAATAATGTCAATTTGATAAGCAGAATTGGAACTTCTGGCATAAAATAGATCTGAAGAAAACGCTAAACAATGTAACATCATCACGAGATGAAAAGTCATTCTCAACGTAGTTGTCAGTTTTAAAGATTGGTCAAATCACCAATGCCCAAATGAAAAATTGGCTAGAAAATTGGATGTCACATCACTAGGTGGTTCCATTTATATCTCGCTGTTGTTTACGCAGTGATTTACATGAAGTATTCGTCTTGATTTTCCAAGACACCGCATTAGTCAGGGAAGCTATGGATTATACTGTAGACGACCCCTCCCGATATAGAAGGCCCCGACACTCTGTCGAATGAGGCCCCTATATCTTCCGCTGAAAGATGAACAACGTTTTCATCCAATTCACCCCAACCAGGCAGGGGTACACCGTGAAGGGTGGTACTGATGTCTGAGGACACTCATGCCGCCATACCATTAACACCCACATCAGTCATGACCCGTTTGTCCTTCTGGCAAACATCAGTCCAAAGGGTAAAGGAGGCAGGCTCCAACCTGTCTAAATTCAAGATGACTTCCACCAAGACGCCTGCCCGCAGCGATGTTCCTGCTAGAACAATTATACTAATTCTAGTACTTTTGACAATCTGCTGGTACGTTAGTACAATTATTGAAAGTTCGAGACAATTCTAGTACTATATTTTCAATTTTTCGCCTCTACTCTATAACGTTTCCATTTATATTGAGGAAGAACACCGAAAACGGCAAATTATAATTCTTATGCCAGGAGCCAATTTGAAAATTATGGATTCGGAAATATTATTCGCAGTTGAAAGAGTAATCAACTCGCATTTTTGAAAATTTTGTTCAAAATGTTTTGAATAATCAATGATTTTTTCTGAATCTTTTGAAACACTGTTTTCATCGCCAGCGATTGAGCCATCGTCCAAATACCAACAATTAAATGCGGATGATAAGCTTCTAGTGAGTTCGTTGATGGTCAGACAAAAAAGAGCAGGTCCTAAGGGATCACCTTGTTGAACACCTCTCTCAAACAGAATCAGATGGTCACCAAAACTCAAATAAGAAGCTGATTTTTAACACTGACTTAAGAAGGGATAAAATCCTGGAAACGAATCTTTAACCTTACGAAGCATGATGTTTCTATCAATCATGTTGAAGGCATTTTTGAAGTCTATTTTCAGGAAAATTTTTGAATAGGGATTTGGATGAAGATTAATATATCTACCAGCAGCATGAGCAACAGCTTCACATCCACCTGCAGTACCGAAACCAAACTTTAGTGGACGTAACATCGATCCTAGTTCGTCTTTAATCCTCATACAACAAAGTTTAGCTACCAATGAATCAATGAAGTCGCCCCGGAGCGCCAATTAATTTTCATTGTTGTTTTTATTTTTATCGTTGTTGTAATAAACTAACCTACAGTGGAAATTAAAAAAAATATATATAAGAAGATGAATCGATTTGGACTCTAGACTAGAACAAATGACAGTAATGACAAATGATATGATTTCTGTTGTTTTGTTTTCATTGTTTTTGTAAAATTGAATGTTTGGTTCAAAATCATAGTTATTTGTTTTTTATTTTCAAATAAAAGTGGGAAAGTAGGTATTTTGTAAAATTTACTATTCAGGCGACTTTTCCTAACATTTCAAAAGCAAACCTTTCCCAAGATTCCCAAGCTGCAAATATTGTTACTATACGTAAAACTGATAAAATTTCGATCGAGGATGAAAATAGTGATTTTATGAAAGATAGAGTACGGATAAAGTATATTACTGGAGTTTTTTTCCCCAACACCAAATCGTTGCTATAAAGGTAACCCGTACAGGTAAACCATCCAGGCGTACCAACCATACAGGTATACCAATCTAAATTAATTTTACAATTTTGCCTTATCTATTGTTAAAAATAACGATTTGGTGTTGGGGGAAAAAAACTCCAGTAATATTCATTACTACACCAAAGGTTCCAAACAGTGCATCATAAAAACAGATAAAGTATATTATTAATGTAAGAAAACTTGACAAGGAAAATTATGAGGTGTATGGAGAAATTGGTAACAGTGATATTGATAAGGAATATTTCAAATAGATTTTAAAAGAATGAGTTTTCAATTCAAAATTAGGTTATGAATTACCTCTAAATGTCAATTTTCATATGACGTCATTGGCTTACTGACGTCGCAAAATCTACAACCTAAAAAATGTAGTAATTTGATACCTTACTTCTGAATCTGGTGCGAAAAAGAATTCTTTTCTGGTACAATAAATTTCAAGCCAACTCCCCACTTTTTTTGTTCTCCCTACCCCTAAAGTAGGAATTTCTTAAATCAGTATCTCTTTTACAGGGTAAAAAGGTGATGAAAAGAAGAAGTGTTGTTTGTGTAGATGATGAAGAGACAGCGCTGCCTGACCAATTCTGCGATAAGAAATCCAAACCCTTAGAGTACAAGCCATGTACTTCTTTACCAACATGTTGAAGCTTATAATTATTGTACAATAAATAGTTTTATTTTAATTTTCAACCATATTAATTTAGCAAACCAAGTTTACGAAATATTCAGAAATGGATGTAAAGCTTCTTCGGATAGTCAAATTCTAGAAAACCCATATATTGACAATTTCTAATGATCGAACGTAATGGAATTCATAGAAAAAGTTTTTTTTGAACTTTTTTTTCAGGAGTTACATCATTCATTATTTGCTGAATCTATTATCGAATGATGTGCATCTGGTTATTTATTATTATTCTGATAAGAAAAATATGCTTCTGACGCTGTTTTTATGTATAAAATAGTTTTAATGTTGATGAAAAGTTAACGAATTTTCCAAAATTGAACGATAACATTTGAATGCAAATAAAATCTATCAATTTCATTTTTCTACGTATTTATTGAATACACGTTTTCCTTACCAGAACAAATTTGCTAACCAAGTAAGCATATTCAGTTATAACTGTCATGTCATGTCTAACTCGGTTATCATCATCAGGAGATGACTGAAACTGTTTCAGACATCTTTAACTGGGTTAGCGAAATGCGCGTCGGAGATAGGCTTTTTGTTCTGGTAGGGGTCCAGAGAGCCCAAATGCTCATGAAGTTTTCTACGTACAAAAATCAATATTTTATTGTTAAATGATGAAACATTTTTCTCAGTATATATCAACACTTTTAAAATTTCGAAATGAATGCCATCCCCTACTTAATATATCTATTCGTTAGGACCTTTTTTCTAATTTGCAACTTTGACCGGACCTGTCACGATTCATTATATTATATCTAACTCGTTTCAAAAATAATAGCGGAGTAAGCGATAATATCAGACACATATGACAATTAATGGCCTCTGAATGTTTATTTTATCTCAAGACCGAAATAAAAAACATGGTATGTCTTATGTTCATTTTTTTCAGAGACAGTCATTTTGTTTGTTAATTCAGTAGCACCGTAACTTTCAACTACAATAAACTGAAAAGGGTAACTCAGAATTCGTTATTTCTTGTAGTCATTCAAATTTTATTAATTTATGATTTTATATTTTGAGGGAAACAGCAATAATTCGAATGAATCGCAAGAAGTTTTCGAAAAAAAATTACAATTTCGTTCAAAGGTATATCAAAGCACTTTCTTAGAAGAAAATTGTTCAAAGTGTTTCCATTCCACCAAACCTTATAATTTATCTTGAATTTTCATCTCCTGATCGAAAACTCGACTAGAAGAAAGAGCTTTAATTCACGAGGGTCGTATCTGGAGTGTACGATGGACGATATGTAGATGCTGATACTCAAGCGTTCAAAATTTACTATAGGGTGACTCAACATGGAGCCACTGAATACAAATGAAGAAACGGTTGAATCAAAATTGAATTATGATAATCAACAGCCAACGTCTACTTTTAGAGGATAAAAAATCTAAGACTGCCTCTTACTCTGACTCTTACTCTTTATAGGCGTCCACTCCCGTTTCCTTTGGGATTGTGTTGTTTGGCGATTTGACGAAGTGAGGAAAATTAAGAACTGTTTTTTATTTGTGGAAAACCCTTGTTATGAAATTATCCTGCCAGTTTGGCTTTTCTAAATCACAGTTAATGAATAAAATCGTTGAATTAAAGCAAGACACACAGCTAAAAGCTAATTTCATTGAATACCCGGAAATGCAGAAATACATTGAGTTTTAGAAAAATGCACCTAGTATAAATATTTTTATTTTAACCATAATTTATTCAACATATATCTGTGAAGCTAGTGCAAAACAAATAAAGAAATGAACTGAATACATATGTGGGCAAACGCTCTTAGGGTGCCTCCACATTAGGTCGCCTGGCTGCCGCGCGACTTCCATACTAAAAAGATCCGCGAGGCTGTCGTGTGAAGGCGTCATATAGGTACTCTGCGACCTGGCGCTGACACCCACAGATCCCTGTGGGGCCGTTGGCCAGAAAAGTGTAACGATCGCTGTTCTGGTGGTTCGACGTTGGTTTGCGAAATTTCGTTCCGGAGATTTTAGCCTCGAAGATGAGCCCGAGGTAGTAGACATACAGTAATCGAGGATGTCAAAAAGCCGGAAAAGTGAGTGCCCCACGATTTGAACGATCGACAGAAATTGTCACGATTCGAGGTATGTTCCACTTTGTTTTTGCGCAACCAAAACGATTCATGTTTTGATCGGACCGTCACGTGACATGAAAAGAGGATCCTCTATGACAAGATACGTTCAGGACAGTGGTTGGACATCGATAAGCCACCCAGGCACCCAGGCGTCATTGCCTTTGGCATACTTGACAATAATTTTCATTATTCCGTTGTTTGTGAAACTTGGCTGACAGCAAATATTGATATTGAAATTTCAAAAATTGGTGGACGTGATAAAAATATAAGAAGTGGTGATATGTTGGTATATCTCAGGAATAAATTTCGTAGTGAGAAAATAAAATTACCTATTTCTATTTGAAAGTAAATGCTGAAGTTAATAGTGGAATTGAGTTTTTCATTACTATACGTGTAATTTTACGTTTATCGGAAAAGATTTTTTTAAAGTAATTATATTATTCAATATATCATTTTTCAGTGGCATCAATGTTGGTGATGTTGATGAAAGGAAAATGATGATGAGAAATATCAAAACGAATAGGAGTAGGAAGGAATAATAATAATAATAATAATGGACCCAATAACCCCTTACCCCACGGTGTGGGGAGTGGTCGTTGGTTGATAATGCAGGCGCGCCCTCCCGAATGTATCGGGGGATAGGGACTGACAAGCGCATACTACGGTATATTAATAATAATAATAAAAATAATAACAATTCGTGTTATAAGTTGTTTGCAAGCATCTTATACACACGAATACTCACCGCAGTTGACCGAGTGTTCGAACGGATATATGAGCAGAGAGGGTCGAAGAGAGAAGGACGCAGGACTCGATACAATACAAGCATAACCTCTCTATGACCTGGATTGATTACCGTAAGGCATTTGATACATTTCGCATGAGCTCATCTTGCATTTGCTCAGATGTCTTGCGGTACCCGACAAAATAGTGAGATGCATTGAATAACTGATACCACTCTAGCGAACTCGCTTCACCATAATATCTAGAGTCCAAACAGGGTGGGTTACTTTCAGAAGTGGTGTTGCGCTCAGAAATACTCGATGGTATAACTGTGGCACCACCGGAAACCGGAGGCACAAGGTCACCCATTTGTTTTATATGGATGATCTTATACTTTATGCCTCTGGAGAGAAGGATCTCCATCAGTCCTTGTGGGTGGTGGAAGAGTACACACATGCTATCGGTATGAAATTCGGGAAAGACAAATGTGCAATGGTCCATCTCAAAAGAAGACGATGCGGGGACTACGGAGAGGATATGCAGCTCGTAGATGGAAGCATCCTATACCATTTAGATGCTTGAGAGACGTATACTTACCTCGGAGTGGAACAACGCCACTCACAAAAGGTAACAGCAGTGAAGAATTCCCTCCGCGGCAAGTATCAGCACAAACTTGACAGATCTGGTCATCGGAACTGTCAGGAAGAACAAAGTTGCTGCAACAAATATGCTTTCCATTCCAATCTTACTCTACTCGTTTGGAGTAGTGAAGTGGACTCGGGAGAAGCTGTATCAACTCGACGTAAAGACCCGAAAAATGATGCATCTCTATAGGAGTTTGCATCCCAAATCGTCCGTTTCACAATTATACTTCCCTCGACAACAGGGAGGCCGTGGACTTTTGAGTTTGGAGTATCTACATGACAGAATGGTACTGGATACAGCCTTTAAACTCAGGAGTCAGGAGTTCGGATCCTCTTCGCTGCATGGTCCGTGACCATGAGAGAGCAGGAATTGGAGCATTTCTCTTTAGGGCAGTTGCCCGAGCATCTGATGAACTCGGTATAGTTTTCGACACTGAACGAGGTGACCACAACTCTGTCACCGAGTTGGAACCCGTTCAGCAGAGATCACCTCACTTCTGCGGAAACACAAGGATAATCCAATGCATGGGGTCTTCTTCAATAACATCGGAGACCTTGGCTTATCAAAGCGCCTGACGTTCGCTTTTCTCAGGTCGAGTGGGCTGAAGTCGGAAACTGAGGGGTTCATCATGGCTTGTCAGGATGGTGTCTTCAATACCTTAGTCTACCGCAGTCGCGTGATGGGTATAGAGGTTTCTGACCCAAGGTGCAGGGCCTACCGCGAGATGCACGATTCCTTAAAGCACTTGCTATCAGCATGTCCAGCATACCTATGCGGTCTCGGCTTATATCCATCGACATAACGCGGACCTAAGAGTGCTATATTACCATATATGGCACTCTTACGGTATTGACGAGACACCGGTGTTGCTCTACGCTCCGGGGGATATTGAATCCGTTGTGGGTAACGAAAAGTGCCGAATTTATTGAAACTATTCGTTCCCCACCCTCAGGCTCACGCAAGCTAATAAGCTTGATATAGTCATTCTCGACCACCAGAGCAAAACGATATTTGTCGTGGAGTTTTCAGCTTCTGGCGAGACGAATATTGTCAGAAAAGAGGAGGAAAACGGATAATGTATCGAGATTTTCTTTTCGAACTCCTCAGACTATCCAGATCACTCGGTCAAGATGGTTGTTCTGATTATTGGAGTCCTTGATGGAATGATGCCCTTCTGAGAATTATATTTCGAACAGTCTATGCTTTGCGTGTAACATTACCTACCGCTAAGATACTATCTGATGTAATATAAGTAGTCGCCCTTCAATACACATTCTATTCAAAAAGCTATAAAGTTAATATGCTGCCGTTCAAATTCTTCTTCCTCTTTTCCTTCGCGGCATTTTGTGAAGCAAAACTGGAACCTCTGAATCTAGATACTTTTCAAACCAGGGTTTCTCTAGGTATGTGTATCACCGAAGGTGTGAGAAGTTACTTCACCTCGAGTTTCGGAACCATCAGCTACTCTTTACCTCTCACAGAAGTCAAAGATCCAAAATCATTTTACCTCCTCAACCAAATAGTCCTCAGAGTGATCGAAGAAACGGAGCGAGTAACAGTTTTAGTAAAAAACCTCAGGACATACACGATCAACGTCAAAAGACTACACGACAAAACCAAGAACTACATCATACAAATTCGGGGACACGGAGAATTTTCTACGGTCATCGAAAAGCTCGAGAAACATCTATCTTGGAATCCGCATGCAAGATTCCTAGTGGTGTCTTCCACGATATTCCCGAACCCGGATGAGATTGCCGCAGAAATAACAGCGTCTCTGTGGAAATACAACGTTGTCAATGTTGCTATCTTGCTTCCTGAGCCAGAAAATACAACGAAATTGAATGTTTATACCTGGGAACCCTACAGCAACAGTAGCTGCGGAGATAACTTTCAGGATACTCGAGTTACTGACAGCTGCTCTTTCGGAGTCATGGAAACCAATAACTCCTGGTTCGAAAGTAAAATAAAAGGAGAGTTGTACAACTGCACAATCAAGGCTCGATATATCAAATGGCCTCCTTTTGTTACAACAGACGTTTCGAAGGGATTCCAGAAACCGAACTCTCTCTTGAACCAAGGAATCGATGTCAACCTACTCAACATGGTAGCAAGCACATTAAATTTGATCGTCTTGTATGAGTCTAGCAACGTATCGTTTTGGGGCGAAGCTTTCGTCAATAAATCGTTCACGGGAGATCTAAGCCTCCTTGATCGAAACGACGTCGATGTAGACATTTTGTTAGGAGGCTACACGAAGTCATACGCGAGATCAGTCTACTTCGATTGTAGTCGTTCGTATATTCAAGAGACTCTCGTTTGGTGTGTACCACACGAGCTGGTCACGCTGGGGCTGAAACCATTGATAGATATTTTGAACGGACCGGTATGGATTGGAGTAATTTTATTATACATTATTTTCACCTTGGGGATCTGGTATCTAAGTACCACTGACTTGAATCAGGAGAGGTCGGTGTACAGTAGGTTGGGCGACACATCCTTGAATAATTTTTTGGTTCTACTTGGATTCTGTGCGAATACCCTACCAAAGTCCGGTTTAGTGAGGTTCCTCATGGGCTTGCTGATTATTTTCAGTCTCCACCTGAATATACTTTATTCTAGCTACCTAACAAGTATCCTATCCAGCCACAATTTCAAAGAGAAATACAACAGTGTAGAGCTCATATATAAATATAACCTTGACACATACTTTATCAATAGTGAAGGTTATTTCCAGTCTTATGGTAAGGAAGAAGATAATCTCGTTGGCGGCGTGCCTATCAGTTTGATTTTGCATAAATGGAAGGAATGTACCAACCTGGAAACTTGCACCGAAAACTTGCTAACATCTAAAAAAGCTGCTCTTTGCATTCCCAATCTGCATAAGCAATATCTTTTCAATAATGTCGAGAATTTGGCCAGCAGGAAAAGTTTGATATATTGTTTAAATGATCATGTAGTCACTTTTCCTATTATAATGATAATGAGAAAGGGTTTTCCGCTTTATGACGTGTTTCAAAGTATTATGAATCGAATAAGTAGTGCAGGTTTCATTGCGAAATGGGAGTATGACATTTTGAGGGACAAACATAAGTCTCATATCGACTTGGATGAAGGAACTATTAAATTCGTTAATTTACTTCCTATCTTCAATATTCTTCTAGTCGGATATATTTTTTCGACTGTAATACTCATTGTAGAAATCATTGCATCTAGAAAAAAAGTTGTTGGTTTATTTAATAAAAAGTGAAGTGAGCAAAAATACATTGATTTATTTTCCCAAATATTCATAATGTAGGGTTCAAGTATATGTTCAGTACAGTATGTTTGAAGATGATTTGTCTGATTCACTAGCATTTCAAGCAATTTTCAGCAAAGGTTTTGGCATGATTGTAATTACAATGGTAATTGCTCAAATGTGAAAGTATTCTAGAAGAAAACTGTTTTTTTACTTTCTACTTCTCTATCTTCATACAAAAATGCGTAAAACTTATTAAAAAAGAAAGAAAAAATTATATTCCAATAACTAAAATGCGTGATCATATAGGTACAGAAGTTTCTTTCAGATACAAACTGGAAGAAAAAAACGGGTGCGTCTCGGAACGTCCGACAGAAGTGATAACTTAAACTAATCTGTGTTGAACTATTTAATATTGAAATTGTTGAACTCAGATTACAGCTACCAGAGAGTTACAGTTTTAAGATGCATGTTAACTCATCCACTCGCATTATGCAATATTCAAAATCAACTATTGATTATGTATATATGTACTAACCTGAATACTAAATCTGTGTTTTGTGAGGTATTACCCTCAGGTTTGTCAGACCACGAAGTCATCCACTTTAATGTTGAATTGGACTACAACAATGAAAATTGTTCGAAATTCAAATATGGAAGGCATATTTTTTAAATTATAGAATTATAGATATATTATAAAAGTATAGAAACACCATAAAACTAGCTAAAACTCTTTATTATCCTAACAGAATGAAGAAAGCTAGCAATAAATCAATAGAAACATGAAAGATAATTAATGGTCTCAGGGAAAAGGGTAGAAAGCAAAAATTGGACACTCCATTATCATCCACCGACTTCAATAACTATTTTTGCATGATAGGAGAAAAATTAACTGAAAATATTGATGTAGCAGATAATTTCATTCTATATGACACAAACCTCTCAGAATTGAAAGGAGTCTTTAGGGAGATAAAAAATAAACACACTTCAGGAATTGATGACATTTCCTTTAATATTTTCAAAAATCTACCAGACAATGCTTAGTTGACATAATGAATATCTCATATAAAGAAGGAGTTTTTTCAAATTTTCACAAAACGTCTATTGTTATTCCTCTCCATAAAGGTGGAGATATTGGCATCTCTTCTAACTTCCGACCTATCTCTTTGATAACAACACTTGCAAAGATTATAGAAAAACTAGTCAAGAGAAGACTAGTTGATTTTCTCGAGAGAAACCAGAACAAATGTCAGTTTGGATTCCGGAGTAGAAAAAGCACTCATGATGCCATTTTTTTCATTATTGTACAGTCTATATAACAAATTAAATGATGGAGAGATTGCAGCTGCTGTATTCTATGACATATCGAAAGCGCTGGTACGCTGATTCGGAAATTACAACAGTATGGTATAAGAGGTGTAAGTCTCAATTGGTTTGAATCTTATTTATCTGAGCGTAGTCAAATTGTTAAAACGACTAATTATTCTGAGGAAGGAAAAATAAACTGTGGAGTTCCACAAGGCTCTGTCCTAGGTCCACTATTATTTCTTTTGTTTATAATTGATTTGATCTATTGATACTGAAGGAGAGTTCACACTATTCGCTGACGACACTACAATTTTATGGCATGATCAAAATCCCGCTGAACTTCAAACAGTAATAAATCATGATATTAGCAATATAAAAAGATGGTGTGACGCAAATCTTCTCAGTTTCAATATCTCTAAAACGAGCGTAATTTTCTTCAAATGTTCCATCAGCAATTTACAAATTGACAACATCTTTGTTGAGAATAAACCATCAACCAAATTTCTGGGACTATCTATTGACAGTGATTTGAAATTTGAAGACCATATCAAGAGTCTCAAATCAAAGTTATACTCAGGGTCTTATGCTGTGAGGCTGACATCTTATGAGTTGGGATTTGCTGCTGCCAAAATAACATATCACTCTCTCATAGAATCTCATCTACCATATGGAATTCCTTTCTGGGGTGCATGTACCTACTATGACAACACTGCAATCAATTTTAGTTATACAGAAAAGAGCTGTACGTTTTCTGTGTAAAGCAAAACCACGAGATTCTTGCAGACCACTGTTTAAGGAAAAGAAAATCCTCACTGTAATATCTATTTCTACTATTGAAACTATATGTCTCACAGCAAAACATCAAAATCGATTTTCAATTAACACAAACGCCACTCAACAAAAAAACGACTTTAATTTGCCCATTCCAAAATATTCCCTCATTAAAGACTATTTCATTTATAATGGGTTAAAAATGTTCAATCACCTTCCATCAAATCTGAAATAACGTAAACTTTAGGGAAGTTTTGAAGAATTTTTTTTTTGAGAGAGCCTATTATAATTTATCAGAGTACTATCAAGATACTTTTTCATTCGACTTGTGGCTGACTCGTTTTATGTAATCAATATTGAAAATTTTCCAAATAAACTCTTATTGGCTATATTCGTGCAAGTGATGTATTGTTCTATGTAAATACTAATTGTTTTTGCTATTTTTTTGTTCTCTGTACATTGTTTAATAACTACCTGAAATTTCATTCAACAACTACCTGCCAATGTATATTATTTTATAGTGTATAGTTTTCGAGAACATCACTCGAATAATTATAACTTGACAAGTAGCGATAGCTACTATGTGTGAGTTTATTTCTCAAATTATTTTAACCAAGCTTTGTCAATAAGATGTTAATCTTCAGAGAATAAAGCATATTTTGACTTTGACTTTGACCATAAGCCAATTGTTACTTTTGGCGGATTGAATAATGACACTAATAATGTACATGAACAAAATTAGTATCATAATTTTTAAGCGACGTTTTATATAATAAAATAATATTACGTGCTTGTTGGTTAGATTTTCATAATACTGTCAACAGTACTTGTCTAACGAAAATTAAACACTGATCGTCTGTCCGACGAGAGAGGAGAAGCCTGCCTTCCTCTAACGTATGCATGAGAAAAAGGGAAGCCAGACAAACTGGCGTCATTAACTAATAGGTAACGAAGCGGTTTACCCTCCCATAAAAAGTTATCCTGAATTAATTACTTAAATATAAACATTGAATTACACAAAAAACATTTTTCCATTAAGTCTGTTCTCAAAAAACTCCTAATGAAATCAGTGTTTTTCACACATCTTTCACTTTTGACATGTCAACTATTACTTTTAATGATAAATCAGCCAGTGTTACCAATGTCCCGGCGGGAAATACTACACTTTTTGCGCGACTCATTGAAAAGTTACAAATTCCTTTAAAATGTTACAGTTAGCGACATAATTTGTTACAAAATGTTTTCGAGCAGGCAAAACACTATGAAACTGAAACATATCATTCACAGGGAAATTACACAACGTGGAGAAGCATTAATATAAAATTTCACTTACTTCTTGAAGTAAGAAAGAAAATAATCAAGCTTGAAATAAACTCTTCACAAAAAGATAATAAACAACATATAAATGTTTTACATACTGTCATTATTACCTAAGCAGATTTGTGTCATTCAGTGACATAAAGTCGCAAGAAATGCTTGGTGTTTCCAACCTGAAACTTTGAAAAATAAACCTTAAGGATGCTAGATTTATATGTAAATGACATTTATATCATATATCATTATTTCATATATGAGGTTATGTAGCGTTTCTATGACTGATATCTGTTTCAATTCCACAACGAATGTTTGGAGAATAGACCGAATGGAAAAAGTCTTTTTCGTGTAAATCAGTGTTCATATAAAAATTGTTCTGTTTCTTGTAATTCAATGTCCATATGAAAGTAGTTGTTGGAAGGGACATTTTTCCAATTCGTACCTGAAATGAACTATACGTTTACACATGTATGAGTTTTTTTTTCCAACTTATTTTCTTCCTCTCTTCGGAAGTTTCCCGCATTTTTTGTGTAAATATATGGAAAAGTAGAAAGCCAAAAGGCTTTTTCCCCGGAAACTAATCTCCTAAAAATATCCCCCCTTTCATTCTGAAAGAAACTCAGCAATTAACTATGACAATCTCACAAAAAGTGGATAAATCAGGAGAACTATTTTGAAACAAAGTACTGTGTCCCTCATACATTATCAATTGCAGTAAAAAATGTATGTAACGGTTGATTTTTTAAGAGGTATAGGATTTGATTTTCAAAACAACACAAAAAAACACGATAGCTCTTGCAATGGTTGTGGCTGGTCTTCACTCCAGATGGGGCAATTTTGCTTGTTAACGTATCCATTCAACCAGAAATGAGTCTCGTCGCTGAACACAATTTTTCCATAAAAATGTGGATCTTCCTCCAACTTTGCCAGCGCCCATTCACCAAATGTTAGACGTTGTGGGATCGTGTGGCTTCAATTCTTGCACCAGCTGTATTTTAAAAGGTTTTACAACCAAATCCTTTTGCAAAATTTTCCACGTAGTGAAGTAACAGAGGTCCAATTGCTGCGAACGGCGGCGAATCGACATTTCACGGTCATCACGAACACTGGCGGATACAGCCGCAATGTTTTCTTCAGTCCTCACTATACGTATGCGTGTTGGTGGTTTAATGTACAATAATGTAAACTGGGTTCGAAATTTAGTCATAAGCTTCCGAATAGTTCTCTCAGTAGGCCGACGAAACTGCCCATATACTGGAAGAAGTGCACGATACACTTTCTTCACCGATCATAAATTTTGATAATAATAATAATTTGCAAGCATTGTTGTTCATTCGAAAGTCGATTCATGGTTAAATTATAGACCAAACTGAACAAGTTTAACAATGACACAAGCCACGATTCACGTGTAATCTGTCAAAAATAGTGTTGCCAAAAAGATACCAGCAAAAAAATCACACATTATGTGTATTTTATGTATTAATTCATATAAATTGATGTAGCATCGTTGCTACTTTAGAATTGATCATTTCATACTGCCTTATCAAAACTTTTTTTGAGTTAATTCTACATTATCATTGTTTCTTAACCTTGTACATCCCACCTGTTCATCTTGTAAATTTTTTGTACGAAAAACAATCAAAGAAAGAGAAACAAGGTATGTAAGTCGTTATTTGTTATTATTTACTGTCTCATGCAAAATGAGATCCCATAAAAATTTGTTATTTGAGTTATTTTTTGGGAAAATTTTTGGCTTTCTACTACTCCATCTTGATGCAAAAAAAAGGGATGAGGGAATCTTCCAAAGAAAGGAAGGAAGTAATCAATTTGAAAATAAGTAACTCTACACAAAAACTAGTCACTCCTAAAAATATAACCCCTTCAATTCAAGTTATTTTTTGTTCATATAATAGATTAAGTTGTTAATTATTTTTATTATTGACTGTGTCATGTAATGTTAGATCTCATAAAAAGTATTCATTTGAGTTACTTTATGTATTGTGTAACAGTATTGAAGTATGTTTCTTTTGAAAATGTTCAAGCCCTAATATTGTTGGGTAAGAAAGGTTTTGGTTTTCAACTTCTCGGTACCTCTATGCAAAGGAATGTGGGAATCTTTCAAAGTAAAGAAGAAAGCAATTAATTTCAAAATAAACTCTTCACAAAGAAGTAACTTTCAGACATAAACTGAAAGGAAAAGCACTCTCGAAACAATTACTTCCATAAAAACATTGAATAACACGAAAGAAAAAATGCTTTTGAAAACAACTACTTCTATATGACACATTTTTCTATTCAATTTTCACTCTAAACATCCGTTATGAAGATGAATCAGATGTCATTCACAGGATTGCTACACAATATAGTAATATGAAAGACCTAAAATTTCACTTACATGCAACACTGTCAACCTCAATGGCATGTATCTGATGTTTCGGAATAAAACACTTTCCTTATTGCCTCTTCAGCACCAATCTGGATAACATTACCATACCACTGAAGATGACTGTCGCAGTTGCAGTTGAAACGTTTAGGGATTAAAATCAAAGAAAATCACGACCAAAACATTACATGAATGAATTGAGAGCTTCCTAATTCTCTACATATATTTCATGTTCTATACAGTCGATATCAATTCGCAGGTCTAAATGGTAATTTGGTGACTGTCAGTAGATTTATGTCTGGTTATTATTGTACCGCATCGATTATTGAAGACATTGAGAAATCATTGTTGAATTGAGAAGCTACCGAGTTAATTAAAGTGGGATTAGTACATGAGCATTTAATTAAAGTATATATAACAATGTATCTGTCAAAATTTCCTCCTCTTGAGAATATTTGCAGGTCTAAATGGTAATTTGGTGACTGTCAGTAAGACATTTTAAAATCATTGTCGAATTGAGAATCTACTGAGTTAATTAAAGCAGGATTAGTACATGACCATTTTATTAAAGTAAATATAACAATGTATCTGTCAAAATTTCCTCCTCTTGAGAATATTTGGCCTCCAGTCGATTGGATGTGATTCCTCTGTCGCGTTGTCATCTTCTTTGTAAATTTTTATTGTCTTGTCAGCTTCTGTTGTTATTAATCGAGACCCTGTAATAAACATCTTATTAATAACGTCCATTAACATGATTCCTAATCAGTCTTAGGCTAATTTAATGTTATTTACATACCTGAATTGTCGAAAATCATGGAAAATACTCCCGCCTCACTATCCATAGATCCAGGTTGTACTGGAGCTTGCAGCCTTTGGAAATTATACCCTGTTCGCCAGTCCCAGAAATGCAGTGTGCCGTTATCCCCTCCAGAAACAAGAACGCCCTCTGGATTCACAGCGAGACAGTTGATGATGGCATTGTGACCGGAAAGATTTTGGATGAATTTCCCATCAGGACACATCCACTGTTTTATGTTGTCGGGGGAACCGGATGCGAACATATTTCTGAAATAATTGAATATTATTCCACATGCTGGTCTTTAAACTATAACTCTTTTAAAATTCTATATTTTGCAGTTGCAACAAAAATTTATAGCCACAAAAATTTCATTTTATGATAAAAAATGAATACTTCAAATATAAATTTGAAATATTTATCTCTCCCAACGTTTTTACACAGTAGGCATAGATAATGACAATTCGTCAGTAGCCAATCGTTTGTTTTCGTTAGTTTGTCAACTCATATCGGATGCGCAATTAATGATGCATGTGTATTCTTTCGTTGACCCAACTGTACCTCAATTTATATTCAGAAGTTTAAAATGAATCAATCTTATGGTTCAGACTTTTACCTATTACTCCAAACTATATATGGTAAAAAATACTCACAACGTAGGGTGGAAAACCAGATCTCTCACACTCTTCTTATGATTTGTCAAGGTACATATTGACTTTCCTGCAGCCAAATCCCACAATCTTATGGTGGAATCATGGGATCCAGTAATGACCTGAAAAGAAATCAATATTAAAAACAAAACCCTGAATAATTCATACTTCCAAGAATTGTTCAAAAAATTTACAAACATTAATTTCATAATGCATGATTTTCTATTTTAAACTCTGGAAACTAAGTATTTGCGATTGACATTTTGTGTATCAATTTTTGTTCTAGTATAAATACTTGAAGTACGAATTATTTTCTGACCAAATCCAACTTCAAATATTGTTTCAAGTACAACTGTTTTCTATAAATCTGTTAAAAATTAGTTATTTTATCGCTATTTTAAGCAGCAAACCTTCGGATATTGGGGTGAGAAATTATAGTCCAAGCAATTCCAGGGGCTGATCCTAAAGCTGTGACATGGTGTTGTAGAGAATACAGCCAATATAAGTAGTGGAAAAGTATATTACATGATTCAGGATTCATAAACATTTTATTTTCTAGATGCATTTCACTAACACCTTAGCTTCCTCAATAGAAATGAATATTCTTATAAACAACAGTGGTAGGTACCCAACTTGTATAAATACTCGAAGGACAAATTATTTGCTGGCCAAATCCAACTTCAAATATTGTTTCAAGTGCAACTGTCTTTTATAAATCTGTTGTAAATTAGTTATTTTATCGCTATTTTAAGCAGCAAACCTTTGGATAGGGGGAGTGAGAAATTATACTCTATGCAATTCCAGTGACTGATCCTAAAGCTGTTTCTGCAACAATTTGTCATTCACATTTTAAAAAATCAAGTTGATATGGTGTTGTAGAGAATATATAAGCCAATATAAGTAAAGTAAAAGTATGCATGATTGCATGCTTGCATGATTCATGATAATGATTACACAATTCTCAAACATTTTATTTTCTAGAGGCCTTTCGCTAACACCGCAGCTTCTTCGGTAGAAATCAATATTACACACTGGGCTACAGTACTTATAAACAAAAGTATTAAGTACCTAACTTAAGAGATTATTAGTGAAAGCAATCCCAGGTAGAATTTGTAAACCAAATACACTGTCAGTTCTTGGACATCATGTAAATTTTTGAATAGGAATAAACTTCTTGATATTACGAAAAACAGTTTAACAATGGTGAGTAGTCAACCTCCTGTTGGTCGAACGTTTATCCTTATCTATTTACAGCGACTCCAGCAGATTCAATTTCGGTCCCTTAGCTTCTACATGAAGTATATCGTACATAGTGTTGGACTCGTGACTGTTCTCCTAAAGGTACCACACAGGTGGAATTGGTTTTTTTCAGTTCAAAACTTGTTTTATGTTCGGAGATTCTCATTTTTAAATTTAGGGAAGTCCTTCCTACATACACTTTTGGGCATGATCTGCATGTCAGTTTGTAGACACCTGATCTGTTATTATTGTCTATCTATGACTTGTTCTCTATATGTCTACTCAAAGAGTTACCAGTCTTATATGCTATATTAATATTTCGTTCAATCAGTCGTTTTTTTATTTTACCTGATGTTTTTCCAGTATATGTAAGTGTCTTGTAGATGCAAGTGTTATATTTCATGTGAGGGTATACTTGGTTAATAGCTTGTTTGAAAGGTTTTTTATCAAAGATGTAATGAATCACCTTCAGGTTGAAGTTGTTATTCCCCGCAATTTGTTTTACCAGATTCAATTCCTTATTAAAATTCTCTGTGATCATTGGTGTGTTAATGAGTCTGGGGATCCTACTGTAGTGAGGTGCTAATTTATGTTGTTGTTGGTGATTAGAATAATTGTTTATAGTTGTGTCTGTATGGNGGGTGATTAGAATAGTTGTTCATAGTTGTATGGGTTGGTTTATGGTAAATTGTAAAATCGTGTTTGTTATTAATTTTTGTAATTGAGAGGTTCAAAAAATGTATCATTGGTTTCTAGTTCTATTGTGAATTAGATGTTCGCATGAATAGAGTTGATGTATTGGAAAAACGACTATAATTGTCTATGTGATCCAGTGAAACAAGCTATCACATCGTTAACATACCTATACCAGTAAATATATTTTTGGAATATTGCATGCTGTTGCATAGTTTTTTCAAAGTTGTCCATTAAGTTTAGTCTATAAAATCATAATTTTGCAAAAAATCTACTTTAAAAGAGTACTTTAACTTTTTCAGACAATTTAGAATTGAAGGAGCATAACTACTTTTACAATAATACTATTCCTACTTGTTTGTGAGTACTTCTTTTTAATATGTGTACTTTGTACCTAACACAAACTGAAATGTACTTGACTCAGCTATAGACAGCATATGTATAAAAACAGTTTCTCAAGAATATCAATACTTACTTGTGGTTCTGAAGACTGTGCCAGAACAGTAGATACTGTATGAGTATGACCTGTCAAGGTGTGAACATTAGCCTTTGTCCTCATATCCCAAACCCTTGCTGTAGAGTCGCGTCCAGCTGTAAGAACCACATCAATTGTTGGATGAAGTGCCAAAGAGTATACAGCTGATAAATGCCCATGATATGAACGGATAACCTTATTGTATTCCAAATCCCAGCACTTCACTTGGCGATCTTCTCCACAACTGAAGAGGTAAGGGTGGCGAGCACTAACAGCTAAACCTCTTACAGTACTAACGTGCCCTGTGAGAGATACTTTAAGTTGTCCACTCGCGAGATCCCATATTTTTATTATCCTGTCTGCAGCACCAGTAGCGAACCACTGTATCATAAATAGATCAATTAATTATTACTTCTTTGAAGAACATTTATTTAAAATGTTTTTCGTAACAAAATAAATCTAGATAAATAAGGAATATGTGAATCGTTACTGCATAATAGAAATAGTGAAATTTCAGTATCTGGTATTCTTATAAAAACATTCAACAAATGTTCATTACCAAAATAGGTCTACTGGCATAAGGGCATTTCTGAAAATTAATGATTAAAATAAATTTTACAATTCAAATTTGTTTTACCCCATTTTATGGAGTAACTACATTGGAAAAAAATTTGCAATTGAAAAAGCAAATTTTGAAAACAGAGTCCTAAGGAAGGGATAGTTTATCAGCAAATAAATTGAGGAAAGATACAAGTTACTGACTACCCAGATATTGTATGCTGTTTGGATTTTATTACGCTTGTATAGACCTGTATTCATTTTTCAGAATTTGGAAGCTCAAGTTAGTTCAAGAAAATAAGACCAATTGAATTTCCATGTATAAGCATACATAATTGAAATCTAAACTGATTGACTTACCTCATTGCCAGGTTCTACTGCAACACACCTTACCCAACCTAAATGTCCTGATATCACCCTGTACAATTTCCAAGGAGCATGCCACTTAGGTTTTGGCATGGTAGGTGCTTTCTTCATCATATTGGCCACCTGATTCACATTATTTGCTTGTGGCGTCCTTGTCATAAGACTAGTATCTGAATAAGGTACGACAGCAGTCTCATTTGAAATGGTAGACTCAACTTCAGAGGTACCAGGAGGCGGAGGATTGGGCCCCGCTTCTGAATCACGGAGGTGCTTCATAGCCTGCAGTTTCTTTACATCGTCGAAAACCATTCCATAACAATCACGAGCCTTAACTTGTCTTCTTACTTTTTCTCTGCAAAATTGAAAAGTTTTCTATTAGTTATTGAAGAAAATCAATTGAGAGTTGGGAATTTTCTGTAAAATAAGCTGATCTTACGCTTCTTCATCTACTGTTGGTAAAGTGCCCTGGTTGGATAAGAACATATCATGAGACCTCTTCAAGGATCTGAATACAAGTGTATGAACGGAATGTTTTTGTACATCTTCTGTCATTGTGTTTTTCGTACTCATTATATTCAATAACTATCTACAAATAAATATAACTTCTGCAATTCAAACAAACTGTTCACTTTCAAAAACTTGAGATAACCTCACTACTACACAGAAAAGTAAACAACACAATTGACAACTACCCTGACAAGAAAAATAGGTTAAATTATTACGGTTCATGATTACCAACCTAGATTTCTTAGAATTTTTTCAGAGTTATAATCAGAATATAAAGCTCTTTGATGACACTCTTTAGTTCAATGCATTACATTTTCATTCAGGAAAGGCACACGCCCCGGGAGCCAGAAACACCTTCAAAATTAGTAACGGATTCATAATCAAATACATAAATTTTAATGTCAAGTTATATTACTCAATGAACAAAAGTTTTATTGAGAAACAATGAAGTTGTTAAGTTTTAGTGCAAATTCCCAATTGGCAACATTTGGGCAAAAGGAGAATCCAATTCAAAGCTAGTTTTACGCGTTTTGAGATAGGTAATTTTAGGTTTTTTTTTTAATCTTGAAAGATTGAATTCTATTCAGAAAGAGTTCAACCGTTATTTCATTTTTTAGTTTGATATCACTTATCAATGTCGATGTAGGTTGTAGAGCACTTTGATGGTCGGACTCGTTCATTAAGAGGCCGTTCTTGATCTCGTAATCTAGATTTTTACTGGCTAAACTCTAAAGACGATATCAATAGAGCTTCAAAATCACACGTGGCTTGAAACGCTTGAGCTCTTTCAGAATGAAAAAAAAATTTTTACTTTTTCCAATGGTATATTCAACGTAGAGAATTGTAATGCTTTCCTTCATTCTCGTCTCATTCCAACATTTAATTACGATTCTTTTGGTCTTTGCAGCAAGAAGTGCTCTTTCCACATAAGTGAGACTTCTAATAATTCAATTTCAATTAGAAATTATTTCATTTCATATTTCACATAGAAGAGCAGAATTTTTTCTCGATTAACAATCAGTTGTGACACATTTCATATATTTATGTTAGTATACTTACGAGTTAATTCACCCCGGTAACTTGGTGTTAGTACACCACTGGTTGCTCGGCAATGTTCGGAAATTCATCAGCTAGATTTGTCAGCCAACTTCACATTGGTCCATTAAATTCACTTAAATGAAAAAATTATCGCGGGAAATTTAAAAAGAAGGGGAATTTTCTTAACTAATGTGTCCAATTAGTCGTACTTTGAATTCATTTATGAAAATGTGCCTTCTATGGAATAATGCTCTGGATTACTAAATTGTTGTATTTATTTAAATTATACTTCAAATTATGAATGGACTGGTCCGTTAGTTGATGAAAAATAATAACAATAATAATGATAATCATTACACAATTGTCACAAAGGTTATCAATTATAGACGCGTTTCGCTAACACCATAGCTTCCTACTGAGGTAGTCCTGTGAATGATATCTGATTCAATTCCATAACGAATGTTTGGGGTACATACTGAATAGTGTTTTTTGTATAATTCATGTTCATAGTTGTATGTAGTTGTTTCGAAATGTTTTTTCTTTCCATGTAATTCAATATTTATATCAATATACTTACTTATTTCGGGATGGCTTTTTCTTCCAATTTTGGTCTGAAATATACTTCTTATCATGGTCTACACATCTTGGTAAGGAGTATATTTTGAAGTTAATTGTTTTCTTTTTTTTGAAAGACTCCCACATTTTTTTTTTCATTAAGATGGAGAAGTAGATAGTTAACACTTTTCATCCCCAAAAATTAATCTCTCCTAAAAATATACTCCTTTCAATTAGACCAAATGATTGATGAAGTTTACAGATATGCTACATGTTTTTCAAATATGGTTCTTATCATGTACTTATCAGTAAGTTTAGGCAGGCATAAAATCGCTAACGCAATGAGTGTCAGCTCTCACTCTAGGTTTTCTTGGTCTTTGCTTCCGTACAGCGCATTTAGCCAAATGAATGTTATCTACAAAAGAATTGATGATGTTGCTGATATGACACAGACATTAATTATAATATCACGTTAATTACTTTACTCCAAATGATGTAAGTAAATTATATTTTACACCAAAGACTTTATGCCTAAATTATTCATCTGTTTAAATTGTGATCCCTGAAGATGCTATTGTATAACGAAACAAATCCAACCCAACATTTTATATCACAGAGACAAAATAATTTCCTCCAGACGAGGAATTCATGTCAACGTTTACATCACAATGTGATATCACTGAGATGTCGATTAGCTGAATTTTGTTAGCTGGGTTTTATTTACTTCAATATTTTCACAACAGAGTGCAGTTATGAAATGAACATTCAAAATTAATTACCAAAAGTAAATTATGGTTATGGTTATGAATGAAAGTAAGCCATTAATATCTACAATTTTCTTGAGAAACCAGATAAAGATAAAAATATCCAGATGAATACAGAAGCACTGTAGTGTTTCGTCATTAATTACATTAAATGAACCTGCATTAATTCTCTTCTTAAGGTGGAGAAAAATGGGGATTGTATGTTATATTCTACCTATTTAAAATAGAGGCAAGATGGAATTATTGCCTTTACAAGAGGTATAATATGGGATTTGTTCACATACACCTATGATAATTCACAGACATATTCACAATTCAGATATATTTGAAAATAACTTTTTTCCTATCAGCTTCAGTCTGAAGTTCCATTTTAACCGGACACTGGAGCCAAAAACTCAAGAGCTCTTCGGTGTAACCAAGCAAGAAGTATATTTTTCTGGCACTGACACTTCTGTGAATAATACCAGCTATCCTAACAATGTTATGCTGCCTCTTAATTATAACCTCACTTAAAAAAAGATCATGCCAAGTTCCTGTCACAAATTTTCGGATAAATAGGTCCTCGACTGCAGTTTCTGAGGAGCGCAGACCTCCATCAAGATTATATGGATTTAGAACAAATGTGAAGACTTTATTTTGAAAATAATTGCTTTCTTCCTTTATCTGGAAGATTCTTACATTTTTGTTTGAAGATTGAGAAGTAGAGAGCAAAAACCCCTCTGTCCTAAGAATTGATTTCTCCAAAAAATATACCCCTCTCTTATATACGGAAAATTGTCGAAAATATGCAATAACAAAAAAATTTACAGTACCTACCTACATACATTTTCAAAAAATAATACAAATCATGAAATTATGAAACAACATAAAATAATTGACGCTTCGGCATTAATTCCAGTGGCGCATTTGCTTCTTCAGCTGCAGGAAACTCGAAAAAAACCTGCAGCACCACATCATCTGAAGATCTTGATTTGCTAATGTCCTCTCTTTCGAAAAACAAATTTCAATTTAAAACGAATGAATTACATGTCCAGCAACTTTCCTTCAAGTAGTTGGATTAAAATATGGATGACTGGAATAATTTATTTGGATGTTCAAATTACTGAAAGTTTTCACGAAAAGTAAAAGTAGTTTTTGCTGATGACAACTTTAGAAATGATAGAATACATGGAGACTACCACAACCAAATATTTCAACTATCTTCGTGTATCATGTACAGATCTAGGACAATATACCGCTGATCTAGCAGTACCACCACCCTGTTCCAGATGCTGACAGTACAGTAGCAGACATCTTCGAAGCTTCTCATCTCGAGTAAGTGAGATTTCATACTTCAAAGTAAAAACAGGTGTGATTTCATGTATTTTGTATTTAATAAGTTCTGATTATTGTAACAATAAAAGTATTTTTGAAAAGCAAGTTTAGTGCCGTCGATGATTAATTCGCAAAGATTATTTGGCGATTTGCAATTCGCAACGAAAATTCAGATAATCAACAACGAGCCTTTAAGTCATAATAAATGGAAACAAAGGGTATTTCAGTTTTGGGTACTTCAGGTGGGACAATTGCAAAACACTTTTTGTGAAAATAGGAACTGAAAGAAGCAAAATCGATTTATTCATCAAATACCGATGAATATGACTTCACATATTATCACATATTGAAAAAAATCAAAGTTTTATTCCAGGTAATTTTCAAATCTTTGTTGAGTGTATGGTAACTACAAGTTGAAATATGAATATTTCAAAACTGGAACATATTCTCGTTGCCTATCGTTGGGGTGGAGTTCGTAGAAACATTTGTGAATAATAACAATCATAATATGCTATTAACTTTATATTTATTCGAAAAACATGACAAAAACATAAAAAATATATAAGTACATGTCAAAAATGGTGTTTGTTTTCAGTGTTAGTGAAATATTGCAGGCATCGGCGTCATTGCAACTTTGAACACAACCTCGAACATATCTGAAAACATATATAAAATGAGCGGAGTCATATATAGTTTTAAATAGACTCCAATAAATACTTATTGTCGTAGTAAAATCCGCCACAGTGGGACATTCTAACTAACTCGGTGTCTGCGGTCAAACCACCACTATCCAAAGCACAACCTCTCAGAACAATCTCGTCTTCAGTTTCATCTGAAAATATAACATTGTAGATGTATTAACTATTACTTTTTTAATTATCTATTATTGAGTTGGAAGACTGTTGTAGTCAACAACTCTTGAAGTCTATTCGCGTCACGACGTCAGTACGTCTTCTACATGAGTAGATTTTACTCATCCGTGGCATAAAGTTCTGATGTTATGAATGAAATGACTGCTTCATTTTGTTATATTATCCAGAATGTTGCTGATGAGGTAATACAATAAGTATCTTACGAAACTTGAAAGTTCCCCATTGAGGACGTCGATAGTCATGCAAGTCAAATTTTTTATCGTTACTTTTTCATATAGTATAATGTGTAGCGTTCCTATGAACGATATCACAGCATGTTACCTATACTGTGACGATATCTTATTCAATTCCATAACGAATATTTGGACTAAAGACTAAATAGAAAAAAGTGTTTTTTATAATTCAATGTTCATCTGAAAGTAGCGTTTTCTTTCGAAAACACTGTCTACATCAACGCACTAACCAAGTTAGCATCATCAGGAGTTTACTATAACTGTTCAAATATTTTAGTCATCTCCTGATGATGCTAACTAGGTTAGTGAAACCTGCGCCGAAAAACAATGTTTTTGTTCTAATGTAATTGAAGTGTGATCATTAGCTTGGAGTAATTATGTATTTGATATTCCGAACTATTTTGAAGGGACATTGGAGTTAAAAAATCCTCATACTCACCAAATACTCCCGTTATCTTTATACAGGAAGTTGCTGGAAAAACGCCATCTCTGCCTTTTCTGCCACCCATACACGGCGAATGAAGAATTTCAGCGGTATAATTGTTATGAAAGGGATCTTCGCACGGTCTGTAACTCTTGTTGATTGATATACATTTGAAACAATCGATTGAAAGCACTGTGCAAAATATTATACGATTTATTTTACATTTCATTAATTCATTTGAAACTCACCTTGTGTGAAATTGAAATTGAATGATAGGAGGATTAGAAATTCAAAACAAGTTAATGCAGACATTTTTATCTGCAGAAAAACATTCGAAATCAAAGTACGTTTCCATAGTAACGTGACATACTTATAATGAAACATAAAATAATCAATATTTTTCCACTGGGATACATTTTAATGAATAGTTTTCTACTCACGTTATGTTGGTATCTCTGACGTCATCGATTATATAGGTTCGAAACTCAGATGCCTTATCTCACGAAATAGTTTGGTTCTGTAAATTAGTGTTCAGGTATTTCGATATTGAACCAATAAATTAATATAATTTTTTTTCAGTTAATATTCGTTTTGTTGAACAATACTTTTTTTCGTTTTCTATTTGTCCTCAGTAAGATACCTTATTAAAAACCGGAAATTAAAAAAAAGGAAGTTAATAATTATTAATTATGACATGAATTTTGAAAATGTAACATTGATTACCACCTCCCCATTGAAGCAAGAAACAGTTGGACGTACAGGATGTATTGTAAATGCATGCCAACACATTTAGTTTTTTCAAAAATAATAGAAAAATCAAATCAACTGAAGGATTACAAAGAAGTGAAAGGATTTTTCAATTCAATTATAATTACTATTTCGGCAGAATTTGAGACAATTCATCTCAGTTCAAAAATTTTGTCTCCTAATTTTTTTCTTAAAAATAAAACACTACAAAAAATCAAACTATCATAGAATTGTTCTTGCAATCGATTATCCATCCTGCGATACCACTTGAATTACTATTTCAAAACTAATTCCACCAAATTAAGTCATTTGTAAAGAGCATTAATAACAAATAGATTTTCATCATTTCTTGAAAGACAAATGCGTATTCACCTTATATTTTATTGAATGAAACAAGTAATCCTCGAAAGTTAAGTCATCATTATCATACACCCTGTAAAAAACGAAATAAGAAGATATTGGCTAGGTTGTTCTGGTGACCAAGGCTATAAACGGAGGCTATGAATGATTGAAGAATGAAAGAAAGGAAGCATTTTAAAACATAGACATGATAATATGGATTGGCCGAGATGTCACTTTTACATATATTCCATTTGCGGATCACTCAATGTATTGGCCATGCGTCACAGCATCATTTAACAAATCAAATCCCAAAATTTTCAAGAAATATACAACACATAAAACAACGTGACGTTGTATGAGACATAAGTGTATGAGTGACGTAAATGCACCTCATCTGTTCTGTGTCAATGTTCTTTCTTCAAAGGCCAGTCCATATTATGACGTCACTGCTTTTAGGCTGGTTCTATTTTTGTTTGTAGGTAGGGAGGTTATGTTATTGAAAACTCTAGTATAAAATATTTAAGTAAAAAAGAATTTTATGAATGAACCCACGGTTTTTAATTAGAGTTAAGCAAAAATGTCTTCATATAAAGTATTTTAAATTTAAGGGTACCATTCTTTTAACCTCCCAAACCACTGAGTCTGGAATGTATTGTCAGTAATTCATTTTGAAAATGGGTAGACAGAAGAATATCCCTTATAAGATCGCTGCCATTGAAGACAACTGTAATTACAGAGATTATATACCAGTGTCCAAAAAACGCAAACGAAAATCACATATCAAAAAATCTATGAACAGATTTTTCAATGTTGAACTTGCAAAAACAGAACAAAAACAGTTTTATATAGGGGAGCTACTGATTGGTGAAACGAATAATATTTTCCCCAGTGAATATACAGATTGTCGAGTTTCATTCAAAATTTTGAATGATGATGATCGAGATAATGATGAACTAGATACAGTAATCATTGAATGTGATAAGGTTTCAATGGTTATCATTAAAATCTATGAAGACATCAACTTTCTCAAAGGTAAGTGGTACTCGTTTATTATGTGGAATAGTTTTAACCACTGGCATAATCTTCATGAAATGCATAATCTTTTTAAATAGATAAAACAAAAAATTATTCTCAAGTTTCTCTCTTTTGCAAATCCATTTTGAGAGAAAACTAAACTAAGAGGTCTAACCCGAATGAACACATTTTCAAAGCCACTAACAAAACCAATTTGGAAAGAAGTTAACACAAAATTGGACAGAAAACAAAAAGTAACATATAGTATAACTCTGAAAATAAATAGTACCACACTTGCAGTGTAGCTAATTGTTTCGAAGAATCTGAAAATATCAGTAGAAAGCATGTAACCTGGTTTATTTCTTTCATATCCAAAAAACAATTAAAAATAACAAAATACGGGCCAGTACGCCAGGGTTGGAGTTGCTCAATTTTTTTGCAGTCATATTGATAAATACTATTTTTTAAAGATATTTTCTCGCATACTGGGTGATTTCCGTCACTTTCCCTCAAAGCATAGACCATTTGCACCATATCTTCCAATATATAATTCATAATGAAAATAATTCAATCTACACAGGAAAGAAACTTCAAAACATGGCGTTATTGATAAATTCCGAGATACATTTTTTGATGTCAGTCTTGAATAACTGGGTTTTCAAAGAAAAAAGCAGTACAAATATTTTAGGTTTTTTACGCATTTCTTACTTTTGAAACCGCTGATTACTATCACTAGATGGTATGAAAAATGCTAATGTACTAGTGATTAGTTTGAATATTCAAAAAACAATTTTGAGTAAGTGAACGTAAGAAAATACATTTTTTTGTAGTTACAACAATTACTAAAACTTAGTATAATTTGTAAAATATCAGTTTTTCGTATAGTATACCTCTGATAAAAAACGTAGTGAAATGTTGAAACATTATATACAAAAGAAAAAATTCAGTGTTTTACATTTGGAAAAGTTGAATTATGTCTGTTTGAAAATGAATGAAACTTGATACAAAAGAATTTCTTTCTTCAACATAGCAGAATCAATCCACCTTCAAATAGATACATTCTTGCGAGAAAAATCTCTCTTGGAAAGTAGGATTCTATCTCATTACTACGGCTCGTGAGTGGGGAATACTACCACATCGCCAATTCATAGCTTTTACTAATATTTACTATTACTATCTGTGCATGTTCCAAGTGTCGAACTTTTTTATATATTGTTATACTCTTTCTATTTTTTCATGAAATGAATTATTCTTTCTTTTGTTATCAATTTTCATTCTTCCCTAAGTTATCTAAAGAACAAACTCATGTATTGTATTCAAATCATTTTATTTTATTTTTCAGACTTGTTCACTTTGAAGATTTTTTGTTTCGATTTTTCTGTTCGAGATGAGAAAGTGTATTTATCGATGTATTTCAAAGCATTACCACTGCCAACGTTTCATAGTAGGATAGGAAATTGCATAAAAACACTTTTTTCATTAATTTATGAAATCGATTTATAACTTCTGCAATTCAAACAAACTGTTCACTTTCAAAAACTTGAGATAACCTCACTACTACACAGAAAAGTAAACAACACAATTGACAACTACACTGACAAGAAAAATAGGTTAAATTATTACGGTTCATGATTACCAACCTAGATTTCTTAGAATTTCTTCAGAGTTATAATCACTTTGATGACACTCTTTAGTTCAATGCATTACATTTTCACTCAGGAAAGGCACATGCCCCGGGAGCCAGAAACATCATCAAAATTAGTAACGGCTTCATAATCAAATACATAAATTTTAATGTGAATAAACTTTTTGGTTTTAAGAAAAATGGTTTAACGATGGTGAGTGGTCAACCTGCTGTTGGTCGTTCAGCAGAGAACCCGAATTTTTATCTTTATCTATTTATAGCAACTCCAGCAGGTTCAACTTCTGTCCCTTAGTTTCTACATGGAGTATGTCGTACATAGTGTTGAACTCGTGATTGTTCTCCAAAAAGTGGAATTGGTCTTCTTCAGTTCAAAACTTATTTTATGTTCAGTGATTCTTGTTTTAAAATTTCTGGAAGTGCTTCCTACATGCACTTTTGGATATGATCGGCATGTTAGTTTGTAAACATATGATCTGTTTTTCTTGTCTATCTATGACTTATTGTTCTTTATATGTCTACCCAAGAAGTAACCAGTCTTATATGCTATGTTAATATTTTGTTTATTCAGTCGTTTTTCTATTTTACCTGATGTTTTTCCACTATATGTAAGTGTCTTGAAGATGCCAGTGTCTTATTTCATGTGAGGGTATACTTGGTTAATAGCTTGTTTGAAAGGTTTTTTTATCAAGGATGTAATGAATTACATTCGGGTTGAAGTTGTTATTAACTGCAATTTGTTTTATCAGATTTAATTCTTTATTAAAATTCTCTGTGGACATTGGTATGATAATGAGTATGTGGATCATACTGTGGTGAACTGCTAATTTATGTTGCTGTTGGTGATTAGAATAAATGTTTATAGTTGTGAAATCGTGTTCATTATTAATTTTTGTAATTGGGAGGTTCAAAAAATGTATCATTGGTTTCTAGTTCTATTGTGAATTAGATGTTTCCATGAATAGAGTTGATGTATTGGAAAAATGACTGTAATTGTCTGTGTTCCAGTGAAACAAGCTATAACAAGCTATACCAGTAAATATATTTTGGAATATTGCTGTTGCATAGTTTTTTCAAAGTTGTCCATTAAGTTTAGTCTATAAAATCATAATTTTGCTTAATAAGTACATTATTTTTTTTGTTTTTATTAATTACTTCTAGCATTTTTTATATATTATAGAGTCATCATAATACTTTTGTCAAAAACAATTACACTTAATATTGAAATATCTGCTGTATTATTTTCAACGTTTCAACAAACCTAATTTCCACTTTCATTTCAGATCAGCTGCAACCTCTTTATACTCCGTTGTTATTAAAATCTGATTTAACCATATACCTTGACAAATACAGCGGGTATGTAACTCTAGAAAGACCTGTGATCGCTAAATCCAGTCAGGGAGGTATTCTTGCCGATGAAATGGGTCTGGGGAAAACAGTTGAAGTTCTGGCTTGCATACTACTGAATCCGAAAAATCAAGTTTCTCATGAAATTGAGCAAAAAGATTCTTCAACCGATTTAAAGCCAGTCGTAGTGAAACAATTACAGAAACGCAAAATGCCTGTTGATGAAGAAGAAGAAGCAAGCTCTATTCTCCATGATCGTTCCAAGAAGTTGAAAATTCCTAACAATTGGGTAAAAACGTCAAGTAAAAAATCGTCCACTTACGTAGCTCTAAAGATGTGGTATGATAGTATTTTGTCAGATGTTAGCACAACATCATTATCTGCAGTAGATGAAGATAGGGTTTCGATTCAGTGCATTTGCGGAAGCAGGTCAGAAGATGGGATCATCGAGTGTGACTGTTGTGGCAAATACCAACACCGTGAATGCTTGGGATATAACAAATCCTTGGGGAGGTACCTCTGCCCTCAATGTTGGATGGACGAACCCCTATTGGAATGCGGAGCTACATTGATTGTCACTCCTCTGACCCTTAGATCTCAGTGGTCAAGAGAAATTTGCAAGCACATTAGAGGAAAACTGAAGGTTTTGCAATACGATGGTTGCAATCTCACTCCTGTTTATCCCACTCAGCTGAAGGAGTATGATATTGTGATAACGACATACAGTGTGTTACAAAATGAACTGAGACTTACTGAAAATGTTCAGGTATGGTATTTATAGAAATTTCATATCACTCCTTGGAAGTGACTTTTTCAAATTCTTCACACATAGTTCCATTCAATGCATTATATATACATTTACATGTCACATTTCACTCCTCAATGTGTTAGATTTACACTAGGAATGTACCTTATTTAGCCCAAAATTTGCAATTTTTTCAATACAACTGATTCTCAAATCATTTATTTTATATTCCGTTCCAAATTTCGTTTCAAAACGCCAATATTTCACACGTGACCACTGTGACTTCACAAGTTCATAAACGCTGGTAAGATAAGACAATACCAAGTTTTTTCGTGAAGATGAGTTCAAAGTTTTATGTTGTACGTTGACGCAGTAAGCAAGTGCTACAATTGAAACATCTGAAAGATTATTAGAAATAGGCAAGCAGAATTTAAATTCGCCTCCTAAAAATGCATACTTGGCAAATTCATTTGCCTTGATAGGTCTATTTTTTTATCTTGGAAAAACTTCTTATAATTATTTCCAAAGGGAGTAAAAGTAAGTAGATTCAAAGAATTCGCATTTTGATTATCAAATATAAATTATATTCCATAAAAGTAAAAGAAAATAATAATGTATTTTTTTGGAGAAAAACTATCTAGCAAACATGGTGTCATGCAGTGTCACATCTAAGTCACAGAGATGTACTTTTATTCCACTCAATTGACGAAATTTACAATATTTTAAAAAAAAATCATAAGATGTATGGCTGGAGTCAAAAGTGACTACTCATGTCGTAATCCCTTCAAAAATTACAACATTCTCACCTGTACNGGTATAATTTGTAAAATATCAGTTTTTCGTATAGTATACCTCTGATAAAAAATGTAGTGAAATGTTGAAACATTATATACAAATGAAAAAATTCAGTGTGTTACATTTGGAAAAGTTGAATTATGTCTGTTTGAAAATGAATGAAACTTGATACAAAAGAATTTCTTTCTTCAACATAGCAGAATCAATCCACCTTCAAATAGATACATTCTTGCGAGAAAAATCTCTCTTGGAAAGTAGGATTCCATCTCATTACTACGGCTCGTGAGTGGGGAATACTACCACATCGCCAATTCATAGCTTTTACTAATATTTACTATTACTATCTGTGCATGTTCCAAGTGTCGAACTTTTTTATATATTGTTATACTCTTTCTATTTTTTCATGAAATGAATTATTCTTTCTTTTGTTATCAATTTTCATTCTTCCCTAAGTTATCTAAAGAACAAACTCATGTATTGTATTCAAATCATTTTATTTTATTTTTCAGACTTGTTCACTTTGAAGATTTTTTGTTTCGATTTTTCTGTTCGAGATGAGAAAGTGTATTTATCAATGTATTTCAAAGCATTACCACTGCCAACGTTTCATAGTAGGATAGGAAATTGCATAAAAACACTTTTTTCATTAATTTATGAAATCGATACAAATACCACTGAAGGTAATATTTTTGGTTTCCACTAAGCAGTACTTGAATAATATTAACATTTTCCATAGATGAAGAGAGTAGTATCAATGAAAATAGACATGGAGGAAAAGAAATTGTTGGGTTATATGAAAAGTTATGGCACATGAGGAAAACTAATGACCTTGCTAATTTTGAAAGAGAGAGTGTCCTACATCCAAATCTTAAGCCTTCATTAAGACCCTATCAAGAGAATTCTGTTAGATGGATGCTTTCTCGTGAAAAAAATAATACCATGGAACTTGGTAAGATATTAGTTAATGTCCACATGGTGTTGAGAAAACTTATTTTATTATTTTAATATGTAGAACTAGATGTAGAAATGCTTTATTCCATCCATACTTAAATAATAATAACAGCCTTTATTACCCAACAGTTAAAAACCATTTA